GAGGAGGACATTAAAGCAGTCAGCTCCAAGAATTGAAATTGATTCGTGAATTCAATTTTAGGGCTGAAACGATCGTGGATTTTCACCTATCGATTACTCTCTAGCTTAACGATCGAGTAATCGATTATAATCTTTAGCAAATAGCGTCAGAATTTTGTGCAAAAATTATCCTGTTTCCAAAAGCTAGGCCTTCAATATACCAAAAATCTGCGTTAGTGACAGGGTAGCTCCAAAACATGACAGTTTTGAAGTCAATTTAACCTCAGAGTATGCACCATGCCCCTGGCAACTGCATACACACAGCGGAAACTGATTCAAACTTCACAAAACGAGGGTTTCAGTACTTTTTGGACTCAAAATTCCTAACGAGTAATCTATAACGTAACGATTACTTGATTGATAAGGAATTATCGATCGCTTACCGAGTAATTGGTATAATCGTTTCAGCCCTAATTATAATGATGTTCACACCTACATGTACATGTATGCAATAACTAGGTATCACACTTCATCTTACAGGCGAGACCTCACTATATATTCTCTGGGGTACGGCAAGTGTTATGCTTTAGAGAGGTCCATGTTATAGCGAGTTGGGCACATAATATAAACCATATATGTCAAAGTTAGGGCTGCGGTTAACCAAAAGGTTATAGGCTAGAACCAAGAGTAGATAAACAAGAGTGTGCAACTCCGGGATGGGTTGGCCAGTGGCGGAATTTTTTGTTGACGTAATCTTTTCTATGACGCATGCGCTGCGGGTCTTTTGGAAAGTTTGCATCGTGCACTTGGCCGGGCTTTACATTACAAGGTCGGTGCCCAGTACGTGCTCTCACACTGTTCTGCGTCAAAATGCGCGTTTTTCTGAAAAAAGGTGACGTCTACAAAAAATGCTGCCACAGGCAGGGGTATGTGCAGATTGTGCAGAAGAGATCCAGAGTTGCACACTCTTGTTTATCTACTCTTGCTACAACCTATAAGAGATAAACTGTACATGTAGCCTGTATTCATGTACCATTGCTGTACATGACTGTAAATCCATGTATCCATGGTACCATGACCTCACGCACTGCCAAAACAATCACTACAATATGTATAATACTCATAAAAGGACACATTTCAGGCTCATTACAAACGTCTTGAAAGTTTTTGTCTTCACAAGTATACTTTATGAGTATTATCGCATTTTTGTCTCAGACGAAACTGTTTACAATATGTATAGTGGATGCATATTATATTTTGCTCAGTTTTCCAGAGCAGGTTCAACAAAGAGTGAATAACAACTAAATAGAGCGGTTGCCAGTTGACAAACCCCCTTTATATTTACAATGCAGTTGCGTGAATGTCCACTACTTTCTGAACGAAAGGTTCAACATATTTTAATATTTTGTATGCTCCATTGGGCTTCGGATTGCACCATCACCTTGTCATTTAATCAACTCAACCTCATCATGAGCATACGCAAGCATCACTAATATGGGGAGCAACCCCAGAGATGAGGGAGATACACGCCGTACATCCATTGTGCACAGTACTGACAGGGTACGCACATGCTGTCACGTATATTATGTACAGCGGACATTGAAAGAAAATAACCGATTAACCCATATGCATATGGTTAACTGTTCGTGTATTCTTAACGGTTACATAACCGGTTAACCTATCTAACCATTTCACCCTAGTCAAAATGGCGCTGTTTGCTTACAGACTACAACTGTATTGCCATCGATCCACACTGATCAATCCAGGAAATGTGCGCATGTTGTACATTTTTAGTGTATTTTATAGTAGTGTGTCTACTGCATGTGTTTCAGGACTGTAACAGTCACACTACAACAAAAGTCCGACACTCCAGAACAACCCCACACAAAATCCTGTGGTCGACCAGCCAACAAACACAGCTCTGGGTTGAATGACGAATTAGTGAAAAACTATAAAGAGAAAAGAGAGGTGAAAGAGAAAACCGCCAACACATCTCCAGAACGACAGAGCCTCACTCTCTCCCTCCCTCCCTCTCTCTCTCTCTCTCTCTCTCTCTCTCTCTCTCTCTCTCTCTCTCTCTCTCTGTCTCTGTCTGTGTGTCTGTCTTTGTCTTTGTCTCTCTCTCTCTCTGTCTCTCCCTCTCACGGCAACTAAAAAAACAACCATATCTCAAACCACACCTCACTCATTTTACGCTGTAGGATGAAGATGAAGGGGAGGTTGGCGATGAGAAGAAGAACACGGCAGGGTTTAAGCATTTATTGTTCAGTGACCCGTGTCGTTTGGCGTATAATGATTCTCGGTTTACAATTGTAGTATTGTTTGTTTTGCAAAGAATTTCAATCAGTTAAAAGTCATAGATGCTGTTTACATTCACAAGCGTAAGCCAGACCGATGCATTCAGAAAGAACATGTCACGGCATCCACATTCTTTCCTTAGCACCGTAACTGTATTTTGCACATATGTTTGTTTTATTCACCCTCTCTCTTTCTCTTTTCTTACAGTTACACTTGTGTTTTATCACACTATAGAATGACTGCGCATGTATTTTATAGATTGCGATTATTATCACTGTCGGGAAGGAAAACACCAATTTTACAGGGCCCTAAAAGTCTGAACGATACCTATGAAATGCACTGTCAAAGCAAACACAAAATATGAATATGCAAGCTCATGCCTGAGGGGAAGATGAGAAGTTGAAACGTGGAGATTTTTCGGACAGGACGAGAATCCGAAGAACCTGGGTGATTCCCTTACTTCCACAATGGGCTAGTGGCTGCATCACAAAAATTATACCTTGCAGTGGGTGCAGAGACAGATCAATAAACACTAACCTGAGCATGAGAGCTGCTCGTATTCATTGCGATCGTCAGGAAAATGGCAGGACGAACGGACCAGAAGAATGTTGGCTATGACAAACAACTGCATATCCAGACGACACACGGCTTGACTATTTGCTTATGACGTTCAGCTTCGAGGTCCAGCACGATGGAATTTTCGGAAGGAACTGATTTTTGAATTATTTGGGGAAGAAGATTGCACTCAGAAAAGGTACCGTAACTGGTTTCTTTCATTTGAAAAGCTGTTCACCAAAGTCCTAAACATACACTGTACGACGTTTCGGAGCTGCTCCAAATCGATCGATTTGTTTTGAATGGTTTCGCCACCGCTTTCCGATCGATCGATCCTTGCGCGATCTGTCGATCGACAGATCGCGCAAGAAAATCGATCGATTTTCCAAATCGACAGAACGCGCACAACAGGGATTTGTATGCAAAATGTCACTAAAAGCGCCATTTCGTTCTTATAAAAGCACGGATGACCGCGATTGGCCCATATGTTGTAGTCTTTTGGACGCTGAGTCGACTGGTTTTGGTCCGAAAAGGCTGTGATGCAGCGTTCCTCCTATATTCCCAATCGAACATGGTTGAACAAGCGGTCACGTGCTCCTGCGTACACCAGTCACCTGGTCACCGTGCCTGCAGGGTACAACTAACTAGCCTGTTTGACCTTTTTTGGGTGCACTCCTGTCACTCGAGTTGAACCTTGGTGTGAAATTTGTCGCCTGCTGGCGTGGTGACCAGGTGATTTGGGCACCCAGGAGCACGTGACAGCTTGTTCAACCATGTTCGATTGGGAATAAAGGAGGAACGCTGCATCGCAGCCTTTTCGGACCAAAACCAGTCGACTCAGCGTCCAAAAGACTACAACATATGGGCCAATCGCGGTCATCCGTGCTTTTATAAGAACGAAATGGCGCTTTTAGTGACATTTTGCATACAAATCCCCATCTAGTAGGGCGCAGTCACCCAGTTTCGGTGGAAGTGCGCGAGTTCGATTGGGATTCAAGTAGGAAGGGAGCGTCTCAGCTTTCTCGGACCAAGACCATTCGACTCAGCGCCCCGAAGACTACAACTGGTGAAATTTTAATTTTTGCCTTAACTTCCCCTTTAAACACGTGTTTTGCCCTTTTTCAAAACGCGGTGCAAATCTCACGTCATAATAATTATAATATGCGGTGAATAAAAGTACATAACCCCGGGTTTAATATTGTACTCTTGATAATATTGATATGCGGGAATTTTTAGTGAGTATGTAGTGAAATCAATCAGTTACAAGTCTCAAGAGGGTTATGAACTCTTGGTCTCTGGTGTAAGCACTCGTCATATTTGAGTACAAAGCCGCCACGATGAGACGTTGCTGACCGAACAGTGCACTGTGTACGTGTAGTGCAACAAAAGAGTTCAAAAATAACGGGAAAATCGCGGAAAACGCGGTCTTTTAAAAAATCGCAAAAAACGCGGCCGCGGAATCGCGATTTTCCCCGGGGACAGGAGCATGCAGCTTTGTAAAAAAAATTCTCACGACTTTCGCCTAAAATCAAAACGTCCTGATCCCATAAACCATGCAGGCCGGGTACGCGTACGGGTGTGTGTACATGTAGTAAAGTGCCAGTATTAATTGACTACTCCCTGGAGTCAAGAGTGTGGCTGTGTGTGTGTGTGTGTGTGTGTGTGTGTGTGTGTGTGTGAAGTGGCTTTTTCCGGCTGAATAGTGGCGGTCAATTCTTCAGCCTTGCAAGCTGTTGAATGGTGCAATCCCAGCACAAGCTGCTATGGCTTCTGCTGTAGCATCGCTACCATCGCCTCTGGCGATGGGCGTCAGACGGCCAATGGTGTGTGTGTGTGTGTGTGTCACCGAGAGAGAGAGAGAGAGAGAGAGAGAGAGGGGGGGGGGGGGAGTGCATGATGGATGACGCACGGCCGTCACAGTCACCGCCAGGTTACCCCGTCCCACCCCGGTGGAGGAATGGGCGCAGCGACTAGGGCAGCAGGCACAAAGAAAGACAACCAGTTAGCAGACGCCGGTGACAAACCACAAGACAACGACAAAAGGCACTTGGACATGCACTCGTGCATGCTCAAACAGTGCCACCACCGCCACATCAGTATACTTGCAGCGCTCATGTGTACACATGCCCCGAGAAGAGAAACACCACCACGGCACATGGGTCCAAGAGTTTCGAACAGCACATCATGTCTATAATTCTGTAAAACAGCTTCCAACACAGCAATACACTGTGGTGGGGCCAGACACAAGACAGCAGAGACCTAGATAGACACGCAGGTACACAGGTACATACATGTAACTTCCATCTACTCGTACATGTCACAGCAGAGACCTAACGTTAGACAGTATACACAGTGAGTCGGCATACAGAATACCCAGAGATGGAGTAGACAGACACAAACCTACAGAGAAAGACAGAGATGACACAGCCATGGTGGCATTGCCAGACAGGCAGGCAGTGATGTAACTCAGAAGTAGTAGCGACAAAAAAAAACTCGGCACACACACACACATACATACTACTGTGACATCACAAACACACAGAGGTATGAACATACAACTATGGACAAAAGCTAAAGCACTAAACCTACTGAACGGTAAACCTATAATCTCTTGCCTGGAATTTGACGTGTCAACCAACCTCCACGGTGTACAGTCGCACAGACATTGGCATTATGTTCTACTGGTATGTACAAATCATACTTGATATATGTAGCAATGGCCTCGGTTAGCCTCATGGACTGGACGTCACATCACTTCGTAATCCACACACAGCTCTGTATTGGCTTCCAGGTCAATGATGACGTCATTGGGTAAGCCTGTTCAATCGACAACAACGCCATCAGTCATTCAGATGCAGTTCAATCAGCGGCGACGTCACCGGATGCGGCTCGATCAGCGATGATGTCATGAGATGCAGTACAAGCAGAGAGGTCATGTCTGATACGGCCGACAGCAATGAGGATCACTATCTCAAAAACGTTTGATGAAAGAATAGGAGATAGTAGTAGTAGGATTGGCAGTCACAGTACTGAAGCTTAGCTGTTAAAATCCTTTTTGGTCAGCAGCCTACAGGATATGGGGCGGTGAAGACAATAAGACGGAACAGCCAACGATACAAGAAATAGTTAGTGGCACCGTCTGTTCATCTCTAGTGCCCACATAAGCACATATTGAGTAGGAGAAAAACTTGGGATTATCAGGAGGTGTGTCCCAGTTGCAGCATAGGCGCGGCAAGACTGAATAAGGTCACCCTGGATATGAGACACATGTCGCCCGAGAACACGACAGCTACTCATCCCACAAGACGACATGGGCACGATCAACGGGGGTCACATGATGCGGGTTTACATGACAACCACCACTACCACCATTGGTCACTGGCATGTCACATGACACAATCTCTAGAGCAGGCTAGACGTGGGAAGAGTTTTGGTACAAGCAAGGCACGAGCTACCACGTCTGGGGAAGTTCTGAACAGTGGCAGAACTATCATCAATACTCCAGAACGCGGTTGCAGATCATGGATGGTCCAACCGGTAGCAGAGGCATCACCGGTACTCATATGTGTGCATAGGTGAAACATCCTCCTCTCGGGCAAGATCCAGGGTTTGAAACCTGGGCGGAAAAGAGCAGAAGCAGCGGCAGCAGCAGCAGCAGCAGCAACACACAACAGACAGAAGTTGTTTTCAATTTGGCTCATGCCAACAACAGGAATTTACTCCCAGGTCTACAGGAGGATTACTGATTGCTAGGGGTGAAACGAGTATCTATTTTGACCAATCGATCACTCATTCACAATATTCGATCGAGTATCCGATTATTTCGAGTATTTTATCGAAATTCAAAAGCGCTAGATTTGTGAGTTCTCGACCAATTCGGAAGAAATTATCTGTGAACATAGAACAAAAGTCGCCAACGTCTTGTACAGAGTGTAAAGTAACGATTTTCACCATTGTCCAAGTCATAAAATACTGACTCAAAGGCACGAAAAAGGCATGCATACCCGTCGATGAGCAGTACGACAGAAGTTTTTGAAAAATAGAAGGCCAGTACTAAAAAAAAAAAAAAAAAAAAAAACGATCGAGTGAAAAATTTCGAATACTCGCTCGTTTGAGATTTTCGATCGAATACTCGAATATTCGAACTAATCGTTTCACCCCTACTGATTGCATATACATGCAACAATACCACCATCCACCGCTGGAACTGCAAGATGTTTTTGCCCGAACCATTTTGGTAGCCGTGTGCCATCACATTTTGCAGTGTTAATGGAAGAGAGTGTGTGGGCTCTACTCTTAATTAACCGTGTTCCCATATGGGAACATAAAATTTCAAAGGCCTATAACTTACTTCGGTATATGGCTACATCCCTACAGTATTCGACAGGCACAACTCCACTTCATAGCCAAAACATATTGCATTGGAAAAATGATTATGTGGTCATACAACTACAGTTGAACATCGATTATCCGACCACCTCTGGGCAGACAACTGTCAGGCGGTGTTCAGATAAGGCAAATGTTCTGGATAAGAAAAAAAACTGTCACTCACACACTTTCAGTGGTTATTACTAGCCGCACGACCTTTTTACTTTTTACTTTTCAAAATTTTCGTATTTTTTGAATGGCTCACTAGTACACTACATGCACAGTGCGTACTCTACGGCACGTGCGCCCAAAAAACTGTTACGGATAATCGAATGGTCGGATAGTCGATGTGCGGATAATCGATGTTCAACTGTAGGTATATATTTCCATTTTCCAACATAAATTGCTTCCGATATACGCTAAATTGGCTCAGTACTGAAGGTTCATTGCAGATAGGAGACTGGCTGTACCTCCCAACTCCATATTGTTTTGGGTTCATATGGACGATGAATCATAAAAACTGAAAATGGATCGCTCTGAACACTTCTTTGGCCACTGAAATCCATGTGCTAATTCAATTCTTGTTCCCATATGAAAATACGGTAACTTTTGAACCGAAGAGAAATTCGTGCACTCAGAATGTACGGATCGTGCCGAGATTGGAAAGAATCAAAACAAACGGGTATACAATAGGCCCAGACAGATTCTGCTCCGCTCGCCTCGATATTTTGCCACAACATGTTGCTGCAAAATCTTCGATATTTTGCTGAGCCTGACACTAGAAACCCGGTATTTTACTCCGGAAAAACGTGTATTTTATCCACTTCCCGTACAACGTTTCATAAAAATCGCATGGTCGGTTTTGTAACACGGGTTTTCATCCACGTGTCTGGAGCTCTTCCCAAATCATGTCGATCCACAGAGAATTCCAGTGACATTTCAGTGACATGATCTTGTCCTGGCCAGCCTATCAGGCTGAATGGGTAAGAAACACGGAAATCCAAGAATCAGGCATCGATTTTTCCCCAAATCTCGTTATTTTGCTTCGATTTTGCCGGCAATTTCCGCTTTTTCAATTCTTCGATATTTGCCGAAAGAATTGCCAGCAGAATGTGTCTGGGCCTAGTATACAGGCATGACAGATAGATGGAAAGAAAGAAAGATAGATAGAGAGAGAGAGAGAGAGAGAGAGAGAGAGAGAGAGAGCTCTTCCAAAATCATGTCGATCCACAGAGAATTCCAGTGACTTTTCAGTGACATGATCTTGTCCTGGCCAGCCTATCAGGCTGAATGGGTAAGAAAAACGGAAATCCAAGAATCAGGCATTGATTTTTCCCCAAATCTCGTTATTTTGCTCCGATTTTGCCGGCAATTTCCGCTTTTTGATTCTTCGATATTTTGCGGAAAGATTGCCGGCAGAATGTGTCTGGGCCTAGTATACAGGCATGACAGATAGATGGTAAGAAAGATAGATAGAGAGGGGGGGGGGAGAGAGAGAGAGAGAGAGAGAGAGAGAGGGCGGCGTAGAAATACACATAGAGAGACTGAGAGATAAAGATCCTGTGCCAGAGGTACTTCAATCCATCGACAGCAGATCGCAGCAGAGGTGGAGGTGGCGGCATCAAGCAGCAGCAGCAGCGTGAGGAGCATGTTGACGACAGTCACTTACCAGTCAGAGTCTTTATGATAGTAGAAGCCGCTGATAGTGTTCTTGTCACAATCGTACATGATATAGTAAAAGCCAGCGAACGACGCTCCCCTCACGTGGGTCTTGGTGTGGTCTTCGACAAGAAACTTTTCCTGCAGTCAGAGAATGAATACCGACAGCTGTCATCGACATACACACCAGTCGACTTGGCAGCAACGCATGCATGTATGACGCACCTGAAAACAAGGTCTCAGCTTTCTCAAGCAAATGACTTCAGTGAGAGGTGTTAGGGGTCGTCGCAAACGTGTTTTTTTTGCCGTCCCTGAAACGAACATGGTTCACTTCGCACTCGGACCCCTCCCCTCCCTGTGAAACAAACACAGCTTGCTATGGTGGACGGCGAAATGCAGCTTGCTATGGTGGACGGCGAAATCGCATCCACGTACATATACAGTGCTGGTTGACTTGCGATTTTGGCTCGCACCCCCTCACCCCCCCCCCCCCCCGCCCGCCCCCAACGAATGCTGTTCGTTTCAGGGACGACAAAAAGCTTTTGCGACGACCTCTTAAACCTGGGCTGCCCACACGAAACCACAAGAGTTGTACAAAGCAAGATGCCAAACAAGTGGGGTCATGTCTGTTGCATGAAACAAGAAGCACGGCAGTAAACAGCTAGATTGAACAAGAACATAACTCATAAGATCAAAATAGAGACGCAATGCGAACAAAAGCAGGGGGGGGGGGCTACAGTGCACGTTAGCTGTATTTCAAAACCATGGGCGGGCCAACCTGTGTCAGGATTCCATGTGGACTCAAGAACTTGTTCCGTACAGTATGTAGCTGCCTTTCAAACAATAAAAAACAGTTCGCACATCTGCGTTACGACTGGCCAATCGTGTTGACAAACTCAGCAGCTAAGGGTGCTTCGCTCGTGCTAGGGCACGACCACGTCCGATTCTACCAAGGTGACACATGCAACGCCCGAGTCTACCAAGCTGAACACGTAACGCCTGATTCTACCAAGCTGAAAACGCAACGCCTGATTCTACCAAGCTGAAAACGTAACGCCTGACTCTACCAAGCTGAAAACGTAACGCCTGACTCTACCAAGCTGAACATGCAACGCCTGATTCTATCAAGGTGACAAAATGCAACGTCTGATTCTACCAAGGTGACACATGCAACGCATAGCTACAAGGGTATTAAAGATCACTGGGTAGGTGTCACAACCAGTGCCTGACCAGTGCCGGAGAGGGGGTGAAACATTGCTAGCTGCACCGATGTCAACCTTACTCAGAGAGGCGAGTAGCCAGCTGACAGTGGGTGTCGGAGCAGTTCGTTGCATGTACGTCATGTATTTAAAAGTGGCTCACACATACATCATCACACTTGCTAGTATAGTGCACTGTGTGTGCTCCCTGGTGCCAACGCTGGACTCAAACTCAGGACCTCACATGATCTGAGGTTTCCTCTGGCGCATCTTCCATACACATGTCCGAGTAGAAAGGTATGTGCAATATGACAAAGTTATTTAAGGAGATCTTTGAAAGCAGATCAGCCATTTGTACATACCTTCCACCTCATGAATACTGCTTTGTCATGGCCCATGTGTTCATAGTCAATAGTGTCATCAGGGAAGGCCTTCGCGTACCGTTCCCAGTGGCCAAACTTTTTCTGTGCAGATGCATACCACACACAGACACACACACGCGCACACGTACACATGCACACCTCAGACCTGCCCATCGCGGAAGCGATGATAGCGAACAGTTATGTTAGACATAGCAACTTGTGCTGGGATTACACCATTCAACAGCTTGCAAGGCTGATGAATTGACCGCCACTAATTTTAGCCTGGTATCCACCACACAGCTGATTGAAGTGGCTTTTTCTGGCCAGTGAATTCCTATTTTTCACATGCACACACACACACACACACGCGCGCACGCGCGCGCACACACACAGACAGATATTGCAGGTATTGACATTTTACATGATGAATGCACAATGCTCAGAGTTAAACAACTCAACACTTTCTTGATAAGGGGCCTTCCGTAAATACCGATATTTATTTAGAAACGGAAACTAGTCGTTTCTCTTCAACCCCCTCCCCCCTCCCTGAGAAACGAACACAATACAAATGCTACATAGTACATGTATCGATATTATTTTTTGATCTTTTTTTCTGGACATGCTCACGCATGCAAAATGTACATCGATATTTTTCGAGAAACGAACAGGCGCTCAACCCCCCCCCCTAAACGACTAGTTTTCGTCTCTAAACGAGAGAGCTTGGAAGCTCAGGGCCCTACGCTATGCATTTTTGCCTAGCTCATCATGCATGTTAATAGAACTGATGGAAATGTTTTTTCCATTGATTGGCTATAGCGTTTTACGTCGACCATGACAGCTACAATGCCCAACCATACCACCACGAACTGATCGGCTACATCATTGTATTGCAAAAAGTTTCCATCTGCTCGAATAACATGCATGATGAGCTAGGCAAAAAAGCGTTAGGTTCACGATTTCATGTATGCACGCACTCACACACCGATCACCTTCACACCCTCGTACTCACCTTTTGTCCCCTTTTCTAACCTTTGTTCCGTTGGCCTGGGTAGCTGAATTCGCGCTCTCGTACATGCATTGCCATAGCTACCCAGGCCCTTGATAAGCTCTTGCGTGATCATTTCGTTCTCTCTCTTCTCCGAATCTCGAGCCTTGTTACAAGCCGAACTTCGTCCTCTGATTGCCTGCGTGCTTGTCGTAAGACTTTTTAGGTACCCTTAGCAAAAAAAACGCTAACGCTATTTTCAACGCTATCTACCCCGGACCAGGGAAATGACGATAAAGTTCTGCGTTGAAACCTTACTTGGTCGAAAATAGTGTGAGGCTTGACGATATCTGGTTTATCAGCATTTTTACTGGATGCGCGAGTTTGGACAGGTTTTTGACGGGATCCTGGGATAATTTTTGTACTGCCGCGGAAGTTCAAAGCCACGCGTGTGTGGAGGAAAGGCCTCTTCCTCTTTCACTTTGCTTTCACTTTGCTTGTTGTCGCGTCAAGCTAGACTAGCTGTCTGTCATCATGAGTGACCTCGTTTTTTTGCCAGGTTCCCCGGTGGAACAGCCTGCTGTTGCTCAGCACCACTCGCAAGCCAGCTCATCTTCTTCTGCCTCCAGCACCGGAGAGGTAACAACGCCAACGTGGGAGGTCTCCAGAACTCGCTTCTCGGAGAGAGACGAAATCCTGCTGTTTCGGGAGGTCCTGGCACAGGAGTTCCCCTTTGCCCGTGGATCTAAGGCCTGGGAAACTGTTTCCGCTAACTTGCGAGCCACGGGCAAGGACTTCTCTGCACGCCTGTGCTGGGACAAAGTTCGTGCCGCTGTTGCCATGGCAACGGTTCACGTTGAAGTAGCGTCAGATTGCTAACGCATAAAGTCCATTTGACGCAAAATCCAATGTTCACTTTTACTGTTAGCGTTATCGTCTCAATGCTAAGGGTACCTATTGGCGCCCAACGTGAGGCTCGAACCCACGACCCTGAGATTAAGAGTCTCATGCTCTACCGACTGAGTAATTACTGCTCCATCTAGCGATCATGAATTCCAACAATGTCGTTATCCGCCGAGGAGCAACTTGCCGCTGCCATGCAGATCCCGTTGCCACCCTGTTCGCTTCCTTCCTCTCCTCCACCACCTCCTCCTCCTCCCTCTCGTTATCTGCCACCTCCCCCGTCTGGCACGGGACTCGAATCGTGGAATCCGTCGCCATGGGGATCGCCACCGAGATTCCCTGATTGGTACCGGCAAGCGGCGTCACCAGCATCACCGTTGACGCCACTACTACCGCCAGCGCCCGCGGCACCAACGCTAATCAGGCCATCGCGCCTGGATGCCGCTTGCCGCCACAGCAGCAATAGCAGTCATAAGCAAAACTCACCCAATGCTTTCGATCCACAGAGGATGTAGATCCCTGCACACAAAATACGCACGCACGCACACCGTCCATTTACAAAATGCTGAGCGGTTCTAGTAATTGGCTATCAAATTTTGTAGAAAAATTGTGGAACAAATTGGAAGCTTTCCCAATTATTCAAGTACACTCATACCTCGTTTATCCGGGCCGGGCGGTAACTTTGACATGTCCGTAACTCCGAATCACATACATTTTGATGGGAACAGGCCATAGACATGGTATATGGTGTCACTATTTCCACCAAAGTGACAAAAGAGTAGTAATATTTCCACTGAAATTCACCCAAGGGTGCCTGGAAGACTTCGGGGTCCGGATAACCGAGGCATCAGTGGAGTAAATTCATGCAAATGTTGTAGAGAGTAAGGACGTTAAGCAATGCGAAAATTCGAATTCTTGGTGGTGGTGATATTTCGCGAAAATCCATTTCGAAAAAGAAAACTTGCGAGGTTTAGCAATGCGAAATGACTTTTTCTTGAAGTTATTTGAATCTTATAGTACCGTACCGTATATGCAGCTCAGTCTCAAGCAGGGGGCTGTAAAGTTACTACTCTCTGTAGTCAAATGCGTACCGAGAAAACAAAAAGTTACTTTCGCAAATCACTGCAACGCGTCCAAGTTTTCGAAGTTGAGCTTTTTTTCTGTACTCATTCCCAGACTCGAATTTTCTTTCGAACTTTCGCGTTGCTAAACGTCCTTATTCTTACAGGCATACCTGTATGTATAAACACAGCAACGTGCCTGTGAGTCAGTTGACAAGCTACCAGCTACACATTTGTCATAAGTGAGCCTGGATCAGCCTTGTTTTCTAGTGTGTTGATTGATTAAATAAAAATATTGGCTTCACATAATGAAAAGAAAGTGATCAGACAAGAAAAGTGAGCAGGAAGTTTCAGGAACATAATTATTGTGACGCCGACATTCCTGTGAATGCTGAAAGAGCTGATTTCTGTTACAAGAAGACTGACATTGAGAGTGAGTGAGTGAGAGAGAAAAAAGAGAGAGGAGAGAGAGAGAGAGAGAGAGAGAGAGAGAGAGAGAGAGAGAGAGAGAGAGAGAGAGAGAGAGAGAGAGAGACACACACACACACACACACACACACCTCAGACCTGCCCATTGCGGAAGCGATGATAGCGAACAGCTATGTTAGACATAGCAACTGGTGCTGGGATTACACTATTCAACAGCTTGCAAGGCACACACACGCACGCACACACACACACACACACACACACACACACACACACACACACACACACACACACACACACACACACACACACACACACACACACACACACACACACACAAGTATGCATCTCATCTCATTATGTTACCGTACCCATTGGCCAGTGTGGAAAGAATGATGTTTTCCAATGATGTGGCCAGTAAAGAATGTCTCTAGCTCCGGTATGTCCTGTTAACCAGCACAGAACAGAAAACAAGCAAGTACCGAACTAGATGAAGTTATAAAACATCATTCACAGCTCACACTCAAACGACTGAAAAGTCAACTACAACACTGCAGGAATCCAGCACGTTGCAGGGCGTATACACACCATGAAGACACAAGGAAGCCAGCACGTTGCAGGGCGTATACACACTATGAAGACACAAGGAAGCCAGCACGTTGCAGGGCGTATACACACTATGAAGACACAAGGAAGCCAGCACGTTGCAGGGCGTATACACACCATGAAGACACAAGGAAGCCAGCACTTTGCAGGGCGTATACACACCATGAAGACACAATGAAGATCAAAAAGCTCTATTGTTCACTGCACATCAGTGCGATCTGTTCGACCAGTAACTCTGAGTTTTGCTGATGACACCAAACAAAGACGAAACAGCCAGCTGTTGGGAGATACAGTACATGTATATGAGACATGCATATATGCATGGTAGCAGGTTGAGGTTTTCCCCAATTGATCATCAAACACGTACAGAATGCATACTATACCTACACAGCTGCCTGATAACAGCTTTTGCAAGAAACTCAGAATAACAAACACATTCCGTTCAGACAAAGCAATCCTACGGGCGTCGTAACGCTGATTTGCCAATTCAGGCTCAAACTCCACTTTCAAAATGAATATGCATCTCCCTACGCGTACATTTGTCTATGGAAAAAGGACATACCTCGGAGATCCCCTGCACCGTCATGTACCCGCTACATGTGCCAGCATCAAAGTTGATATCCTATAGAACACATGCACACAGATGTACGAACAAACACATTCACAAACACATGCACACACACACACACACACACACACACACATGCACAAACACATGCACAAATACACGCACACACACACACACACACACACACACACACACACACACACACACACACACGCACACACACACACACACACAAACAAGAACACATATCATCACCAGCACCACTGACACACACACATGTACAACCACAGGCCACAGGTCAGGTTTTCACACACCACCAATATTCGAATTGATGTTGGAAAGAATTGACAGTCACCAGCAGGACTCGAGCCTGGGATCTCCACTACACGTCACCAGCAGGACTCGAGCCTGGGATCTCCACTACACGTCACCAGCAGGACTCGAGCCTGGGATCTCCACTACACGTCACCAGCAGGACTCGAGCCTGGGATCTCCACTACACGTCACCAGCAGGACTCGAGCCTGGGATCTCCACTACACGTCACCAGCAGGACTCGAGCCTGGGATCTCCACTACACGTCACCAGCAGGACTCGAGCCTGGGATCTCCACTACACGTCACCAGCAGGACTCGAGCCTGGGATCTCCACTACACGTCACCAGCAGGACTCGAGCCTGGGATCTCCACTACACGTCACCAGCAGGACTCGAGCCTGGGATCTCCACTACACGTCACCAGTGCTCTAACAACTAAGCTGTGTTGAGGTCATCATCTCAGCAGAGACTGCTCATCATTTCCTCCAGACACTCGTGCTTCCTGTGAAACTACACCGGCTGGCAGGATGCAGCCCTCATTGAACCTACACACACCATGCACAAACTAGTACTGTACACAAGGAGCGCCAACACATAACAGTATGTATGCAGAAAGCCTCACTTACAAGAGCACATGCCTTTTCAACTGTTGGCCCCCGCCGAGTGGAGTTTTATCTACTACACGTACTCATTTGTCCTGGAGCATGGATGGCTTGACAGTGAGAATGTAATTGCAGTCAAACTGTGAGTTCACAGCCATAATGCATTATGCGGGTTGAGTCCTGATAATGCTGTTGTGGACATTTCGCCTGATTTCGGCAGGGACTGCAGGGTTTTTATTCCCGTAGCTATGCAAAATACGTTATTTTAGGCTGGATTTTTTGCAGATAAGAACGGAAACTGTAATAATACACTATAATGAATGAACATGTAAGACTGTACCATCGAATAAGAACGAGACTGCCGTGTTCGCTAAAAATAAGAACGGGCTAGGCTAGAACCCTGACCCCCCCCCCCCCCCCCCCCCCCCAGTTCTTCGGCGCCCCACAGTACTGTATGCCATCATGTGTGTTATTCAGACTGATACAAACGTCCTTGCAGTACAAAAACATGTGCCCGATAATCGTATTGCAAAGACGTTTCTATCAGTTCGAATAACACACATGATGACCTAGGTAAAAACAAAGCATAGCGAGGGCTCCTGAGCTTTACTGTCAATCCCTCTCGTTTATTATCCGGGTTTATTTCTTAACCAGACTTGTATTTGAGAGGTTAAGATGCACGTTATTTCTGACGTGACGCGAAAGTTCAGCTCGCGTTATTTGGCTGGCACGTCGAAAAAGCAACGCGAGTGACCTGCAGCTCACGTCGAAATTTGGAGTTGTACGCCAAATTTGACGTGAAATTGCGCGTCACGGCGGAAATAACGTGCATCTTAACCTCTCTAATATCCGGACTCGACCTGTACTGAAAGTGTAATGGACTAATGGTACATGGTGTAACGGAGTACACATACTGCACAATGTACACTGTACCTGCATTTCAACATCGACGTGGAAGCGCGAGCCATTGTTCGTCTGCTTTCCTTTGAACCTCATGCCGCAGCGTAATATCGAATTATCCCATAGCAAGTTATGGTCAAATTTCCTGTACAGTTGCAGCTGGTCCATTTCCATGACTTGCGCCCTGGCATCCACGTTGGCCAAGGAGAGCATGGACACACGGCCGACGTATGGCTCCACCCAACCATTTCGCTTGGGACGACCGGCGTTGAAGCAGTGAAGGTGAGGCACGCTGGGTGTTCCTCGCCATGGTCTACTATAGTCTACCTCATCATACTGCACTTCTTGTGACTGTGAGGCGGCGCTTGTGCGTCGATTCGTATCCATTATGGAAAAGGGCCTTTGAGAATTCAGTTTTCAATTACCGGTATCGGTACGTACATGTATTACGAAAACAGGTACAACTTCCACCCACTCGCCAAGTCTAAAATGGCTTAGTTCTTTCCTTCAACCAGTTGTAACAACAGCCTTTCGGAGTAAATAGCTCCGGGTGACAAAACCAAGACGAGTTACCAGTGACTAACAAATAACGCCTGAGCAGCTAAATGATGACTGTGTGGCTTGCTCTAGAAAAGACACAAACTCTTGTATTGATAATGATACTGAACAAGAAAGAAGCAGAAGCTAACTGTTGAGTGTTGTGACAGTACTGTCACTTCGTCAGTGCGGTACCTACTCGCACTCGCAGTGAAGCGTGTTGCCAACAACACCATCCATTCATTGGCGGTGCAGATAGATCTGGTTCGTCAGTGCCAGAACTAAAAAGAGTAAAAAGACAAGTCACAGTCAGTGTGTGGGCAGAACCTGCAGCAGAAGCTCTCGCCAATGCAGAAGGCCCTGGACAAAAATAATTCAAAATCTTGCTGTTGTTCGCGACCACCTCATTTTTGTGACGCCTCATGACGCATACTAGTATGTACTCGAGTACTCGTCAAAAATCATCACACATGCATAAAAAAATATCGCGCGGAGATCGCGAGAGCTAGAGCTAGAGCTTGCTTGATCAATTTTTGAGTCCTGTATTTTGGATCCTGGGTGTTTCTTAGCACGATGCAATGATTCTCGACAGGGAGGGCATTCTCGTATGACGAGGATTTGCTGGCCGGCTGACAATGGCGGCGAACCTTCTGAGCCGTGTTTCAAATATTTCTCAGGTGAGGAATAATCGAAATATTTCGCTTCAGTAATTCTCCATCTGCGTCTGCGTTCATTTGCTGTTCTTTGTTGTTGATTTGTTTGATTTCCATACACTGGTGCTAACTAAACAACCACAAAGAAAAGGGATGGGATAAAATCTGTTGTGAGGTGTGCAGGGGTTATAAGAGTACGAGTGACAAACAAGAACACGAGTGAAACAACCTAGGAGTACTAGTAAGTGTGAGTGTGGGGACTGGATCCTAATGAATTTGTCACCCGCCTTTTAATAGTTATCTTTGTGGTTGTATAGTTAGTTTAAGTTAGCACCCAATCAATCATGATTCTCTACTGAAGACAGTCCCAAGAAAACGTTCCGGATTCAAACCTTACTACGTGGCTGAGTGCGCGCATGTGTGTGTGTGCGTGGGTGTGTGTGTAAATTATGGCACAGTTAATTCTTTTCATAGCGTTGCTTATTATCTCCTTGCCGCCGCTCATACCAAGATAGGTCATAATTATAACGAAGCAGCGTAGCAATAGACGTGCCTATCCTGATGCTTGGTCCTCTTCTGTCCTGGCCTGACTACCTCGAGCATTGGGCAGCCCTGAGCCAAAGCAGCTCAGGCCAAGAGTCCTCTCCGTCCTTCTTTGTCCAAAGCGCGTAGTCTCAGCTCACTCAGTTCGTTCATGGTCTTCAGTGGCATGTGTCTGGATAAACACATGCCGTGACTGCCATGGCCAGGTTCGATTTCGGGCGTCCTCTCTCTCTCTCTCTCTCTCTCTCTCTCTCTCTCTCTCTCTCTCTCTCTCTCTCTCTCTCTCTCTCTCTCTCTCTCTCTCTCTCTCTCACTCACACACACACACACACACACACACACACACACACGCACACACTGGTGACATCTCGGCGGAAGTAGCTGTCCATTGCGTGTTGTGGCGGGGCGTCTGAGGGCATCCTCAAGATGTGACCCAGCATTCAGAAACAGCGGACGGCAGTGGCGTGAGAGAGTGGTTGGGCATGTTCTCTGAAACACACGTCCTCATTGGTGGAGATGGCGGTGGGATACCTGATTCCGAACAGGT